ATGTATTTTGGGGGGAAATATAAAAAGGGAGATAATTTAGCAAAAATACCTATCAGGATCATCTGTCCTTTAGAAATGCATTAGTACTTTTATATGAAATAAGGTATCTTAAGTTAAAAACTGATATGTTCAAAATTAGCCGTAACTAAAAGGTTAATCAGAGCGAAAACATCTTAGAGAAATAAGGGGCATAACTTTGCAAAATATAACAAGGATTGTCTGCCCTTTGATATTGCATCATATGATTAAAGTGAACAAGTAAACCACGTTTTAAGTAAATTCGGCAGTTTCTGAGAAAATAAATGAAATTACTTAAACCAAATTCTGAGAGCGACAATACCATAATACCTTTAATCTGTTGTCAATCAGGGTTACAAATGAAAATGGGAAACAAAAGAAAAATACTTATCTATTGAGAATTTAATATCAATTATCCTTTCTAGCCTAAAGATTACATTATATAGCAGCTCAAAACCTCGATATTAAGGTTCATAAAAGAAAACAAGAAAAACAAAGATGGCAATTACAATAAAAATAACTATGAGAATGTTAAAAAGTAATATAATACTACTTTAATCATGATTTTAAAATGAATTTACATCTTGCGACATTTAACGGTAGTGTTGCGACATTTAACGGTAAGGGAAATTCGTGCGACATTTAGCGTTAACATTGCGACATTTAACGGCAAATGATTTTGCGACATTTAGCGGCAATGGTGCGACATTTAGCGGTAAGTGCGACATATCATGTATACATGTAGTTTTATCCAGAAAATCTTACGGCAAATTTTAACATCAGACGACAATTATGCAATCTGTCATTGGCAGGAAATGTATACAAAGTAATATAGAAGCGCAATTCGTTACACTCGCGCCTCTCTAAACATGTTTTCAAAGAGAAATTCTTTTTCATCGTTGAAGTATCAGTATTATTCAGTATTATTTGTCGGAATATCAAAAACTGAACTTTTACAATTTTGAGATATATTAAATTATCTACCACTTGTATTTAACGACTCTTGTGGCAGTCATTTGGTATTCTTATTACCAGCTCCTTGTGCCTTAAAAAAACTATAATTAATGACTTTATTTAAAAAAAAAGTTTCTAAATTTAAACAATCATTCAATGCCTATTTAACATGCAAAGTTTTCTCGAAAAAGTAAATTTCAGACACACGGTTTATTTGGATGTTTCTCAATTGAAAAGTTGTCATTTACATGTTTGAATGTTGAATCCTGCTTAAGCCGGTGCTAGCGAGCGTGCTTGCACTATTCACTACTGTACATGAACAGGTTCAATTAGACCGAGCCTGCAACGTTTTATAATTGTGCTGCTTTTGGGCCTTCTTTACGGATTTTGTGTTTCTCTAGTTCAATATGAAGTTTGTGGATTTATCATCTGAATAAGTCAATTACATTAACGCAGGTAAATGAAACTCATTCCCATTGGTTACATGGGGTAAACAAGTGAAACGCTGCAAAAAACACTATAAACAAAAGTGGGTGGCCATTTTATATCAGAGACATTTGTATAACAAAATGATGTCAAATACATGTATAAATAGATTTGTTAACACTTTTATGTCCACAAACACAATTTGAAAAATCATTAACATCACTTTGATATTGCCTCAAGTCATTTAACAAGAGTATCATATTAAATTAAATATCACCAAGACAAATAAAATGTTCTACCGGCTCAGTTTTAGGTTTGGAAGGCGATTCGTACTGGAGTAAATCTCCTTCAAATTCCCTAAGCACTTGCGAAAGCTGTGTCCTTAAACTATTTTGAGTACCAAATCTTGAATCAACAGAAGAATAATCCGGATATGGCTCAGATTCTGGACAAGCGCTTGCAGAATCGTCCGGCTGAATCAGATCTTGAAGTATTTCCGCTTCCGTAGTTTTGGCGGGAACGAGCGGTATTCTTCTGTCGTTCCAGGTGCGTTCCTCTCCTGAACCTCCTATGGCACTATCTGAACTTTGAGAACGAACTTCTGAACGTTTTTTATTTTTAACTAGGTCATTTAATCTGACTTCTAAGGCAAAATTTTGTATCGGTGTGTCAGATGATTTACGATCGTTCTTCTGACCGGAATTTTCCGGTCTGTTCCGAAGGTCACAACGATCACAGTTCGTTTTGTGACACTGATGTACAGGAAAACGGGATGGAAAATTTTCAAAAGATTTCGGAATCAATTTCCAGTTTCCGGGGAACTCTGTTTTACGAACACTAACACTTCGTCTTGTTAAACTATCTCTTTTAAAGTAAAATGTTGGGCATTCACTACTAGAAGGATCGGTGGTAGCACAGGACTTTAGTTTATTTACGTTTTCTGACGACTCGCAGTGAGATCGTAACCAATGTTGAACTTTAACGACTCCCTCTTCGTCTGACGTTGTCATCTCGTCGACAGGCTCGCTGGAACATTGTTGATACACTGGGTAATACACGTCTTGGTTCTCGTTTATATAGACATCCTATGGTTATAAAAGACAATAATTTCAACATGTAATTTACGCTTATTTTTAAGTAACTCGTTTTTAATTTGTTTTTGTCACTTGAAAACTGTGAAAGAATAAACACATTACTTGATATTTAAACTGCAACAGTATGTAACAAAATGAATGATCAACATTTCAATTCAAGACAGGGTACATTTTTTGAACGGATATGAAATCCTTAGATTAGCTTACTGTTTACAAAAAAGCGTTTACAAGCGTTTGAAAATATTTTTATAAAACGTTGATTAATAGAGATTATTAAGTCGATGTACTAAAGTAAATGCATTGCAATTCATTTGCAATACAGCAATGCTATTGGATAAAAAATATTCATAAAATAACATTTTGAGATAACATGAACACAGATGAAAGATATATAAATATTTTCAAAGCATAATTAATTTAATTTCAAAGCTCACCTTCCATTCGAAATAATCTGTAGCATGTTTTAAGTGATCACTCGTGACGGCGGTGTGCAGGGGCAGGTATGATTGGCAGCCAATACCTTTAAACATAAAGCCTAGTATAACAATTTTATCATTCGTCTAAACATGTGAAATGTTTTAAAATTACCAGTTAATCAAGATTATTATAAAAAGTCAATATATTTTATTTAAAATCAACATGGAAGTAAAAATACTATGATGATACATTTAGAAACATTTGTCTACATTTACATCTAAATTGGTCCAAACAATTAACAATCGATTTCCAATTATGACTGGATGGTTTGTTGTAGAAACTGGATTTATTGAATGATGTTTTACTTTAGTTACGGTAATATCTTTAATAAGTTATTTCAAAATTATTATTATTTTTGTCAAGCTAATTTTGACTTGAATGTAATAATACACTAATACACATTTTAAATATCTCGTCTCAAAATTCTTATGATTTTTATCTGAATGTAATACACTAATACATATTTTAAATAGCTCATATGATCTGTATGAACTTAATCATGCTGTAAGATTCTTTTTAATTTAAATGAAATTTATATTCTACTGTACTGGAATATATGTTCATACTTTTCTTATCCGATTTTGTCTTCACACATTGAGTACATTCAGTGTCGATGTCACATTGGGTTGAAGCATGTTGCTGTAGCGGTGTACGTTTCTGTAATTCTTCATACCGGCTTCGTAACTCTGTGCTCACCTATATGTGTAACAATTTTAGGCTTGTGAAGTCATCAACAAAAATATTTGAAAAAGAAAAACAAGTATCAACATTTAAATCAGTGGTCTCAGTATGAGTTTTGTCTCGCATCTCGAGATTTTCATTGGTAAATGTACATTTTGTAGCGATTTCTGATCAAAAAAATACCCGAGATCTAAGTTTGAGCATAAACAATTTCTCTATAGCCATAGACCTGTATTACATACTGCACTATTATTTCTTTTATATTTAATATACAGACTATACACTAGAATAGAACGGAATAGAATAGAATAGAACATAGTTTATTCACAAATCTTGGGTCATTATCACAAAATTAAACAATACTCATAATGAGATCAACAGTGATCAAATGAGATCAACAGTAAGTTAGGATACTAAAATAACCAAGGCTTAATTGGTATAAGTTAAACACAAATAGCACAGAGAAGTGAGGCAAATAAATACAAATAAATCTAAATAAGATCTCAACTATTTTAAGACTTAACATATTAACAATAGGTTGGCACATTATAAACACGGTATCCACAAAAGAAAGTGAGATGGCATTTGAACAAGGAGAAATAAGTTTCTAAAAACATAATCACGAGTTATAATCATAAACAATTAAAAGAATTAATGTCAACTTACAGCACTGAGTTGATATTCAAGGTATGCTTTATCAGCTGATAGTTTCTACAAAATCAAATAAGTACAAGAAAGTTAATATTCAATTCATTGACTATATATGGTTTAATTAACAACAATTTACTGACTTAAAGGGACATTTAAAACGAATTATTAAAGGTCAAACATAAAAATTGTAACGTTTGAATAATGGTTTGAGCGCATGTAAGATACCTAAAGAAAGATTCGCTAAATGTAAAATAATTTGTCATGAAAGTAGCAAAATGTAAACAAAGTGGTATTTTGACTTCCATACAAAATACTAAATCACTATAACTGTACTTATTGCCAAAAAAAAAAAGGTTCTTCAGGTAACTGGCCAATGAGTAAAATTGTAGAGATCAAAGTATACAAAAATAAGAAGCTATTGAAAAAAATCATTTCTGGGGCAAAATGGGCCTTTAAAAATGTATCCTTCATAATTATGTCATAGACTTGTCTGTCTCAAGGATCATGCAAATATTTTTTTCCGATTTATGCAAAATTTAAATGAAAAATCTATAAACAATAATTCTTATAAGTAAAAATTAAAAATCAATTATATAAATAAAGTGAATTAAGCTATGCTTAGGCACTGAATAAAGAACTTATAAAGATGTCTAAATAATGCGTTGACACACCTAACACCGTTATTAGCGTGGAAGAAAATGATGAAAGTAGTAAAATCAATAACACTAAGTACAAAGTTTTGCACTATGTCACATTTGGAATATATCTCTTAAGTCTTAATGTGTTTTTGTTAAAGAGACTCCACTGACGTTTTTTTTTCTTTTTGACATGACAGGACTGGAAATATTTTTTTCGAGTTTAATGTTCCATTAAATGTAGATCTAGAACAATACCTTGTTTACAAAATTTCAGATCATTCGCTGACTCCGTTTTTCCAAAATAATTATTCTGACTGTGTAAAATGAACCAAAGTTGAAAAGCGTTGCAACGCTTGTCCCTCAAATCGGGCAAGAATAGCACACAAAACGAATTTATATTTATTTCGGACTATATGTCTAATTCATCTTTTACATGTCTTTATAATTTAAGTGCCAAAACTGATCAATGTTAGTAACTCAAATTTAATGTTTTGAGTCTTTGGACCTCAGTGAAGTTCCTTTAAGCTTGATATTTTGAAAGTATATTTACTCGTCAGAGACAATGCTGCTTTTAAATGTCTATGACAAACGATTGTCCTTATGTTATCGCCGCTCTAATCCTTGACAATGTAAATGATTTTAACTATGACAAGGGTTTTAAAGTATAGGTAATAGAAATATAAGAGTATACAAATAGTTAAAAACAAAAAAACTTTGTTTACCTTTACTTGCGTTTGTAACTCTTCAATCTGAAAAAAAAACATAAATATAAATATATTATCCAATATAGAATTGCTTACAACATAGATTTATTACGAACATCAAACTATTTTATCTAAAAGAACAATTACAGGAAGTGATTATATTGTTAATGCCTGGATTATATCTAATTACCTGGAAGACATACGAAATAATGAAAGCTATGTCACAAAATTGGTGAATCAAAGTAAGTTGAAAGCTTCCATTTAATGAAACTATTAAATCTTTCCTTTTCATTTTTACTGCTGACTATTATCAGATTATATAACTTCCAACAAGTACGAGTAAACTTAAGCATCAATTACAAATGGAAAATAAACGCATAAAATACCATTTTCTGATTGCCTGGATCCAGTGTTCTATGAGCGATGGTTCCTCGCTCAGACAAAATGGTGTCTACATTTACATATTTTCGCTGCCATTCACTCAACTCACGACGAAGGTCGTCAAATTCTAAACCTGTTCCTGTCGCTTTCTAGAAAAAACAACACTAATTTTATACTTGTGAGTGCGTCTTTCGTATATGTTAAATCTAAATAATCATTGTTGTCATTAACTACATTACTACGACCTTCGCATCATCATCATTATCACCATCATCATTTGAATCAACATCAAAATCATCATCACAACCATCATCATGATTTCAATCATCATCAGTATCATGAGCAAAAGCACAATCAATAACCATCACTTTCATCATCGTTATAAGCATTGCCATCATAACTATCATCATGATTGTCAAAACCATCATCATCCTCATCATCACAATCATATTCAAAACTTTTACATAACTATGATCATTATCGCCGAATCATAATTTTCATCATCATTATCATCAATTATCATCACTATCATCTGGAATAGTTACGAGTATATACTAGTATTTAAGTATGAAAATTAGCATGTGTACTTAATATCTAACAAAAAGTAGGAATACGCCCGATATATCCTTAAATTTATTTGGATACAAATATACTATTTCATTAACTATAAGATTTTGAATTCAAGAAAATGTGCTGAACTATGTGTTATCTTGTTAAACTAACCTGTAACATATAGTCTATATCCAGTCCCGCGGTCTCGAGCTCGTGCTGTAGAAATACCCGGATGTTTGTATTTGATGATGCATCTAGTAATGTGTTCATGAATTTCATAGTCGATACCTACAAATACAAGTAAACTTTAATACAAGTAAACTTCCATACAAGTTAACTTTCATACAAGTAAATACAAGTAAACTTTATATTATACAGTCAAAGTCAGTTTTCTGAGATTTTTATTTACAAATAACATTTTACAAGGTGAAACATTACCTACATGTATATCAAGATTTAATGTGTCATCAAGTTATAAGTTATAGAGAAGTGTATATGGGAAGAGATTTGAGTAGCCAATATATCGATATATCAATAATCTCTCTGCTGTAGTCTTAGTAAGGTAATTATGAATTATGTTTTGCTATTATTTTCATTTGCAAAATTTTCATTCAAAGAATGGCTTATTCAAAAGGATGAGTTATCATTGATTATTCCTAAGAATTTATTATTCCAAAGGATAAGTTATCCCAAATAATGGTTTATCCAATATGGCCTTCTATGTATCAATTTCAAAAGGTTCTTCCTGATAATTTTTTAAATGATTTTTTACGAAGAATATCAAGAAATTAAAGGATTTTATGAACGTAAATTATAATTATGCAAATAACTTTGCCGTTTGTCTTGTCGATTGTGGTAATGTGAGAGTTTTACATTATCACTTACAAAAGAATGTTTCCAAGATACCGTAAGTAAGTAACATTAATATAACGGTGTTCAACCTATGCAAAAAGTAAAAGTACGAACCTTAAATAGTGTGTTGTGTCGGCTGTCCATATTCATCATGTTTACAAGAGATTTGAATCTGACTGGTTCACCAATTTTAAGTTGTAAGTATGTGAAACAGTCCAGTATCCTCGAAAACCCTTCTTCCGTAGATAGACATATTGTTAGGATCTGTAAACAAAAAAGTTATTTTGTTGTCATGGTAATGAATTTTACGATTTAATCAAGAGATCATGTTTAAATAATGATGCAGTGTCACACAAATAAAAATATAAAGAAAATGCATAAGGTCAGATTATGTTATATAACCTCTTAAAAATGATAATCAAGGTCAGAAGACTTACTTCTATGGCGGTACCACGTGACTTTGTGAACGTGCTAATCACGGCCATTGAGACTGTCTCTAAACCATAGTTGATATCAAACAATGCCTTCAGAGAACTCTGTAATGAAAGATAAGAAGCAAATAAATGACAACAATTAATTCAAGCATAATGATTTCCTTGTAGTTATCCTCGGGCTATTTTTGTTGTGAAGTCACATCTTTTACGCTTTTATAGAATCCAAAAATAGCCACGTCCATTAATATAGTGTGAAATTCTGAGATGTTTTAAGAAAAGTATTGATTTTCTCAAGTATTTAATAATTCATTTGCGTCCAGACTCATTTGAGGGAAGAAATTGTTGTCTGGGTATTGAAATTACATATATAAGCTAGTTTGTATGACATTTAATTACCGTTGAATCACGCACGATTATATTCATATATATATCAAAATAAATCATTTCAGACTGTATTCTGTAATTAAAAATTTCAGACTGTATTCTTTAATGAAATTAAGTTAAACAATCTTCACATCTATGCGAACTAGTAAGTCTGTGACTGCTACTCATTACGGTTAAACCGGAAGTACCAAATATCATTACACTCACTTCCGCTTGTTTCATTGAAAAAGGAAAACAATGCGTATTTCTGATTGTAGCTACATATAATGTCTCATTCGTGGATATTCTTACCTTGAGACGTAGAGAATACTTGATACATAATAGACAGTCGTGTTCGTCCGTCTGAAAGCAAAAATTGTGAGAAAAAAAAACACTGTACGAGTAATTCATTATGAAAATGTATACCACTTTCATCATATTTTAGCAAGTCATGGTATTCTAAATGAATTAAACTTTACGATTTGGTATTATCTTACTTTTAGAACGTGACCATGTATAAATCATTAATATTTCATATTCTGCACTTTTTATATTCATTATAAACGTCCTGTTGTTAGTAATTAAAAATATGTTTTATCATTTCATGCAACAAGGCAAACCATTGAACAAGACAACACATTCACTTATATGACAAGTGGATTGCATTGAAATCATTTACATCCTCGGGTGATTTAATGTTATTATCAATCTGATACCATTATCGTTAGTTCACCCCTTAAAACTGTCGCATTCACAACATTTGTATAAAAGATCGTGGGAAAATCTACACGCCCCAACAAATTGATATGTTTATTATATCATACTAGATGAAAAAGTGTGTCAATCTGAAAAAAAATCTCTTCATTTTAATATTATTTTATTCAAACATGGATTGAAAGCTTGTTGAAATTTCAAAATATTGAAATTAATGTTTACCAGTGTTTTCTTGTAGTGCTTGAGTTGTGCCAGGTTCGTCGAGCCGGACTGTTGGCTGCCTGTGTTCTGGATGGACTTTAGTAACTTGATCAAGAGACCTAAACCATTATTACTGGGCTTTGTAAACTCCTCTACGAAACTTAAAAAAAAGGAAAACAACATTACTTTTGCTAATAGAGAAAACAATATGAAATTTTGTCATAGAGAAACAATATTAATATTACTTATAGGAAAAACTACATGAATTTTACTTTTTGTAAAAAAACATGAATTTTACTCATGGTAAAAACAACATGAATTTTACTCATAGAGAAAACAACATGAATTATACTCATTTTAAAAACAACATAAATTTTACTCATTGTAAAAACAACATGAATTTTACTCATTGTAAAAACAACATGTATTTTACTCATTGTAGAAAAACATGAATTTTACTCATGGTAAAAACAACACAAATTTTACTCGTAGGAAAACAACATGAATTTTACTCACAAAGCAACAACACAAACAACATGAACTTTACATATATATAGAAAAGTCTTAATGAATAATAAGTAAAACATTTTATTTATCCTTTTTGACCGTGTATAATGACGAAGTGTTGATTTAATAGTGTCATGTTTCCTGATATAACAGTAATCTAGCATGTTAAAGGCAGTAACAAGTACTTTATTGGAAAATACAAGGATTCCTGCAAAATAAATTATTTGACAGACAAAATTACCTTTCATACGACATTTTCAGGTCTAACTTCAGTTTCCGTAACAAATACGAGATTGGATTTATACCATCTTTCTTAATGACATTGCTATCACGTGATGCGGCATTGTGACCATTAACAAACTGGTTCAGGTATCCCGTGTAGTGCGTAACTGCATATATTGGTGCACGTGTTCTCTGCAAATTGAATGTTTCAAAGTTAACTTATTAATCATTGTTGATAAATTAAGCATCATTTCAAATAATTACAATTACCAAATATAGTGAATGTAAAACCATATAGAAGGGTTGATTATTTATTTATTTTAATTTTTTTTTTTTTTTTTTTTTTCGTTTAAACTTCGGTTTACTGTGGTTAAATGCAGGATTTTTTCCTTTAAAGCTATAAATATAGCATAATATCTACCACTATATAATAAAATAAATATCTGCCCCTGGTGATCCATACATTTAAGTTTAAAAATAAAAGGCCAATGCACTTTGTTAAATAGTGCAGAAATAGAAAAGCGATTGATTTACTTATAAGATATTACAGTAACATGCATAATTTGTATCGGCATTTAAATTCAATTATACCATTTAAAGCAACCCATTCACAAAACATAAATATGCTATGATAGTAATATAATAAATTTATTATAATTTATCATAATATTCTATATATATAGGCTCACGTTATTTAGTGTTCGTATCTAACGATTCTAGCCATTGCAGGAAGAAAAACAAACTTCCTCTTTCTTCCAATTGAGAAATGTGAGGTTGAAAAGCACATTATTCTTTAAAAGGTAAAGGGAAAACTATAGAAAAGGCAACTAAAAACATTTGAGCCGCGTCACGACAAAACCAACATAATGGGTTTGCGACCAGCATGGATCAAGATCAGCCTGCGCATCCGTGCAGTCTGATCAGGATCCGTGCTGTTCGCTTACAGACCCTATAACAAGTAGAGAAACTGATAGCGAACAGCATGGATCCTCGGCTCAAATGTTTTTAGTTGTCTATTCTATGCAAACCCATTATGTTGGTTTTGTCGTAACGCGGCTCAAATGTTTTTAGTTGTCTATTCTATAGTTAAAAGTGTGCGTATCTAACGATTCTAACCATTGCAGGAAGAAAAACAAACTTCCTCTTTCATCCAATTGAGAAATGTGAGGTTGAAAAGCACATTATTCTTTAAAAGGTAAAGGGAAAACTATAGAAAAGACAACTAAAAACATTTGAGCCGCGTCACGACAAAACCAACATAATGGGTTTGCGACCAGCATGGATCCAGATCAGCCTGCGCATCCGTGCAGTCGGATCAGGATCCGTGCTGTTCGCTTACAGACCCTATAACAAGTAGAGAAACTGATAGCGAACAGCATGGATCATCGGCTCAAATGTTTTTAGTTGTCTATTCTATGCAAACCCATTATGCTGGTTTTGTCGTGACGCGGCTCAAATGTTTTTAGTTGTCTATTCTATAGAATAAAACCAACATAATGGGTTTGCGACCAGCATGGATCCAGATCAGCCTGCGCATCCGTGCAGTCTGATCAGGATCCGTGCTATTCGCTTACAGACCCTATAACAAGTAGAGAAACTGATAGCGAACAGCATGGATCCTCGGCTCAAATGTTTTTAGTTGTCTATTCTATGCAAACCCATTATGTTGGTTTTGTCGTGACGCGGCTCAAATATTTTTAGTTGTCTATTCTATAGTTAAAAGAGTGCGTATCTAACGATTCTAACCATTGCAGGAAGAAAAACAAACTTCCTCTTTCATCCAATTGAGAAATGTGAGGTTGAAAAGCACATTATTCTTTAAAAGGTAAAGGGAAAACTATAGAAAAGACAACTAAAAACATTTGAGCCGCGTCACGACAAAACCAACATAATGGGTTTGCGACCAGCATGGATCCAGATCAACCTGATCAGGATCCGTGCTGTTCGCTTACAGACCCTATAACAAGTAGAGAAACTGATAGCGAACAGCATGGATCCTGATCAGACTGCGCGAATGCGCAGGTTGATCTGGATCCATGCTGGTCGCAAACCCATTATGTTGGTTTTGTCGTGACGCGGCTCATTTATTATACATGTAAATGCATTAAAAAATATGCTATTCTACATTGCTGTGTACACAGTAAATGTTCTTAAAGGCCAATCAAGTCTAGAAAAATGCTACCATTTATTTTTTCATCAGCGTTTTTTATTGTTGGTGTCTTGTTGCAGTTTACAGAAAGTTAGTCATTTGCCACATATACTTGGGCCATCTTTTACTTTCTTTGTGTTTCTGCAGTTAATACAGTAGGGAAAAATTATCTTGTATGGACGTAAAAATATCACTTTGTACACATTTCTCTACCTTTATCACAAATTATTTCAAATTCAAGATTATTTTTTACGGTTATAAACTTTTCACATGTTCTAAACATATATTTAAACATTAAAGAACTCATGTTTGCCTTTATTACAGCAGGAAATATTAATTCATTTCTGAGACATTATGGGCCTTTAAACATGTATTGGACAAGGCGCTAGCTATGAAGTGTTTAAAGCCTAGTGGTTAACGTTTTTTCTTTGACCCCAAAAAAGTGAGTTCGAGGATTAAATAACTACATTTTGTATTAAACAATAATTTTGCGTTACTTTATACTAATAATAGAATGTTTTTATATATTATAAATCACTACTTTCCTCTAAATTCAGTAAAAACACAAAATTATATGGGTAGTCTTTCCGTAAGGTCAAAAAAGACCAAAAAAGTATATATAGTAAACAGAAAATTCAAGTTTTTTTCTATAAATACGGGAATTATTTTCATTCCACACAATATAAATAAATCTCATTATGCTCATATTTTTATAGTCAAGTTCAGCTGAATTGACTTTATATTTCAAAAGATTGACTGTCAAAATGGTGTTTGACGAACAGTTAATATTGGAAAATGCTTAGGATAAAATTATAAATTTGCCTAAAATTTAAAAAGACTGTCCCACTCTTTTTATAAACTAAACGTTATAGGTAAATTCTAATGGATATTTACAGAAATTTGAATCTGCGCGTTATTTATTGTTTATGCGAACTTAATTATTAAATTTAAAGAATTATTGACAAAATGAAAACTTATTTTGATGTTCACCCGTTCACTCACTATATACTCATGGATGGGCATAATGTCACTTTAAAGAAAAATCTTGAATATCCTCTATACATTAAAATTATTTTTTTTTTTCAATTGTTTTTGTAAAATCGTTGGTTAGTTTTACTATTTTACTATTTAACTTGTGATATACCTCAAACAACTCAATGTATCGAGTTAAATTTATACGAAACTCCGAGAATGCCGCTTAAGTATACTTAACAAATATAGAATATTTTTACTGACATAAACTTGGCTATTGGTCCAATGTAGAAATTTATGTCGACAGCGCCAGCTGTACATGGATCAGTACTAACTAAAATAATAGACTTTTTTCGTAGTTTATAGTCAGATTTGGAAATTAAATGTTCCATGCTTGGCCGATTGGAACTAATTAATTGCCAGCAATTAAAGAAAGTGTCGATCAAATAACTGATGAGCCGTGCTTTGTTGTATAGCCTGTGTATAAAATTTGAAATTCCAAACCCATAAATTATATATGAGCAACTTAAAGGAGGCATGCTTCCAGTTTTATGTCATATATTACGCAATTTTCTAAAAGAAACTTTCAATCGATATTTAATTATCAAATTTATAAATACAATGTAAAAGCAAAGTCAATATTGTTAAAATAATAACTATTATATGTCTATTCAGATTTAAATATTTTTCATTGTCAAACGGTTTTAAAATATTACCCTACATTAAACAAGCGTTTGACAAATACAAATATAATTTAAAATCGGTTGCTATGAGAAAATACCGTTAGAGAAAATCGTTTATCAAAAGCGAAAACTACTACCATTATGTACAAATTTTACTTTTTTGAAGAAAAGAAATAATTATTATACATGCATGTACATATATACTAGATGTATTTATTTACGGTGCATACACCGTGTCTTTCCATATATGGTAATTCCTCGTGTTCTTAATGGTAATAGTTTTGGCGGTAATTATGCACGATTTTACGTGTAAGTTGATAAAATATAGGCATTCGAGGCTTTACGTTCACGCCGTCAATTTGTGAAATTTCTTAAAATATAATTTTCTATATTTTTTTATATTATATTTGTTAATTCTACCTGCGATTGATTTAAAGATAGTATTTCTTAGAAATCGAATTTCATTAGGTTTGTTTGTTTGGGTCGGAGAGCAGAGCACGAACGTTTTAGAAGAACACTTGCAGTTTTTCTTCAAGTATTGATCAACGGAGTTGTTTCCTTTGTTTCTTTTAAATCTTTTGACAAATAAACGGCATGCTCCCTATCCTTGTTATATGCTATATTTTTCTTTAAAGAAGCTTGAATGCAGGTGTGTGTTGGAGGATAATATTTGAGCCGTGTCACGACAAAACCAACGTAATGGGTTTGCGACCAGCATGGATCCAGACCAGCCTGCGCATCCGCGCAGTCTGATCAGGATCCATGCTGTTCGCTATCAGCTTCTCTAATTGTAATAGGGTTTGTAAGCGAACAGCATGGATCCTGATCAGACTGCGCGGATGCGCAGGCTGGTCTGGATCCATGCTGGTCGCAAACGCACTATGTTGGTTTTGTTGTGACACGGCTCAAAGCATTTATGCTCGTTTGAGAGCATCGAATAAGAGCATAACGGCAATATGTGTTGAAAACGAATGCGTTGTTTAATTTTATATATTTAGCAAACTTTGATCTATCCTACCTTGATTTACGTATCTTGCTTAACTTAAAAACACTTTGTGTAATTTTAAAACGTGCTTCCTTATACGATGTATTTCTTATACAAATTTGAATAGAAGCTTTCATCTTTTTAAGTTCTTAATTTTATATGTTACCATTCAATTAACATTAAACAACTATTGAGCAAATAACGATATTGATCTTTATCTGTATTGAGACTTTAAAGAAATATTATTCTTATACAGCATTACTACAGAATGAAATTAAATCTCTGTATTTATATATAGATTTCAAGCTGTCGTGGTTCAATTAAAAAATAATCAGGTAAATTTAGCTACTTACTACGTCTTATGATCGATGCCATATTTATACAGTAATTTAAGAAACATTACTTGACACTGATCACCGTATAGAATATAGTAGATTGGGTTTATTGTGGTGGCTGATTTGTGCCACGTGGTAGTTTCGCTCCTCGGAGCGCCAAACCAAAATACGAACTTCAAAATGACCACATTTTAGTCGAAATTACGACACATTTTGACTACAATCGCTTTATTTGCCTGGCACTTCCGGGAAGCGAAAGCACGAAGTAATTACTTTGTCGTATTTTCGACTGGTGTCACACGGCCCAAATTACGACATGGCACAAATCAGCCTCCATAGTTTTAGTATAAAACACTCAGATCTCTGCATTATAATTATGATAATGAAATCGGGAAACAGTTTAAATTTGAGATTTGAATTGTTTTGGTTCACATTTGCCATCTTGATAAAACGTGAAAACTTTATATATCTAAAAATTAAAGTTGGTTAATGTATTTATAAGTACTTCCTGATTATCTATACCGAGCAAATTCACCAAAAGTAATCAATGGTTTGATTTTGAGACGTTTTTCGGAAGTATTCCTCATTTATAAAAAGGGAAAGAAAGAAAATTCAAACTTGTACATAGAATATTCTTCCATTTTGCATGATAAGAGAATCATATCATGGTGCAAAACATGTTGAAATCCTAATCTGAAATGAGATTTTCTCTGAGTCATCCCCAGGTGGGGGACCTCCCCCAACCCTTTTAAAAGTAAAGTTCAGTTATGTTAACTGAATGAAGCAGAGCAAAATATATTTTAGACTGAATTGTTTTAAACTTTGCATAATTACTGAAAATGAAATAGCAAACTGGAATACACAACGGTATCAGTGTGCTTGACTTGAGTTCTCTGCTCCTGAAAGTGACTAACACGGGTACATAATTTACGCTTAGCTCAATTCTTTATCAATTTGTTTCAATTATGTCTCTCTTTAATAGTGCAAAGTTTAAAAATCTCTGCCTATTTCAAATTTTTCATCTTTACCTTTCTTAAAAAAATGCACTACTCGAGTTATGCATCCATGCCAACTTAATACAATTTCAACATGTACTTGCAGGCAATATACGAACTGTATTAAAAGGTGGACAGCTTAAAAAGTCATAATTGAGCCGTGTCACGACAAAAAGAGCATAGTGGATTTGCGACCAGCCTGCGCATCCGCGCAGTCTGATCAGGATCCATGCTGTTCGCTATCAGTTTCTCTACTTGTAAAAGGGTTGGTAAGCGAACAGCGTGGATCTTGATCAGACTGCGTGGACGCGCAGGCTGGTCTGGTCTGGATCCATGCTAGTCGCAAACTCATTATGTTTACATACATAAAATAAAAAATATCCTCTTACCTCATTAAAGATGATTTGCCACTTCTCCTCCACAGAAAGTACACGAGGTGCACCATTTTGTTCGTCCATCAGACTCGAACACACGTCCTGAAATTACAAAATAATCCAATTTTCATTACCTGTGTATGTCCTGTCTATGTTCTTCTACTAATTGTGTCGATTATCATATAACATAAAGTTAAAATATAAAGAAACCATCTATTTAGTTAAAATAAGTGGAATGCAGTTATGTTAGAAACGTGCGTAACCCATGGAAAAACATAAAAGAAAGTCACACTTTAATCCCATATAACTTTACGTTATCACAACTTACCTCGTAACTTCCGTGCATGCTCATTTCAGAAGAAAAATTCATTATTTAAATCCAGATGAAATCCTATATTATATGAATGACATTAGTAATATACAGGCATAAACAATTGACAGTTTTATGACGATTTATTTACAATATTGTTCACAGTTATTTTTGTTTATTTGCAACGTCACGACTCCGGTGGCAGTTTACTTTATTTATAATACATAAATGGCATTCCATTATGTTTGATTTATCAATATTAATTGGTTATTGATCCCTCATTATTTTGGCACTATTCGAAATTAAAACGAACAATAAAATATTTCATTACATTGTCACATTTGTTATAACCTAGCCTATACCATATTAAATGACCAATAGCTGTTCCACTGTTTAACAATTGACTTTTAAGACTTCAGTCAATATTAGTTAAAGTTTCCCGTCACGTTAATTTGTTTATTATCATAAAGAAAATTAAAACCAAACACTTCTTTTAGTAAATGCCAGAACCGGTTAAAGTTTACTGAACAAACAAGGATACCGGAATAAAGTTATCTAAAATTTCAAATTAACTCTTAAGAAGTTATGAAATCGTCCCTTTCGGATCATAAAGTCATATTTTATGTGTTTAGAAATGAAAATAGTCGGTCAATATTTGCCGCTGTATTGTCCAAATATTTGGACTGAAACTGTGTTAAATAGACGACACAAGGTAGCCTCATCAAGGTAGATGGCTACAACTGTACAAATTTATCTTACACATAATCTAATATTGAAGGATGGTGCTCCGGAATGTACTGTATGTTTGTCAAAAGTATAAGAAAATAATGTCTGAATTTCTACAACAGTTGTTCAGTGCAATCATGAAAGAAATCAATCTAATTAAAAATTGTGTATTTTCTTCAAGATCGAAAAAATACTTTAAAAATACCAGCGAGTGAGCAGTATTCTTAAATGCAACTTAATCCGCACTTCTGTAAATGTATCTCAGATAATTGGTGGTACTGTAGGAAAACCTTACTTCTTTCTGGTCTTCTGCCATCGCAGTAAATTAAATTAAAAACACGGCGTACGTTTAAAAGTAAATCTCAATTTTGCAATTGAATTTTTTATTTAAAAAGATATATATATCTGGTGCAATATTTGCTATTTAATGGACTGTAACAATAGCTATATCCTTAAACTAAGTGTTTAAGATCCTCAAGTCTTATTAATATTCAAACACAGAAACAAATGAGTATAATACCGAGTGACTGCCTTCCGATGGAATAAAGAAACGACTGTACATAATCTTCCTTCGACAACTCATCGAGACAAAATATATATCTAATACTCTAATCAAATCCTTCACTTTTTATAATCCAAACTCAAAATTTAATTTACAAATTTTCACATACTCTTCGCAATCCGGCATATTATAAACTGCTTTACAAAATGTTATTGTATCGCGTGTTTTTCTGTTTTGAATATATTAATTGTCGAGTTAATAATGATTTAGTGTTATTTCTTTACATTTGATATGAAATAGTTTTGCATTTATATAGGTAAACAATATACGCACATCCATTTATGAATAAACATTTAATAAAAACCAGGTAAATATCATCTAGCGTGTAATTTGTACCCGTTTTATTGACACAAAATACGAAAATCAGTTTAAAACCGTACCTATACCAGCAAAACATCACGTCAATTGATTGACAGTCGATTATAAAATTTGCAAAATAACTGAGATTTTCAAATCTTTGAGATCAAGGAGATATAACAAAATTTGAAAAAGGAAAAGAGAAAACAGGGTGAGACTGTATTGTTTGTGCTTTATTTACTTTGTACGGTAACACACCTTTTATGTAATTATATAAATTAACGAGAAATTAAGATAAACAGTACAATACTGATTGAGAACGAGATATTCAAACGTGAAGTCATAATAATTATTTTAAGTACCCGACTAACAATGATTTAAATATTTTGTATATGACGTAAACGACCATGAAACAAATATGCAATTTTGGAAAGTAATTACGGTCTTAAACCCCACACACTTTATTATGAATCGATGGACCGGTGGACACATTTACATAAAAAAAAAACATACCGTACGCAATACAAGAAGTCTCGGCCAACAGATTCACCGGTCCAGAGGGACAGCTCTTTTAAAATTCCAAGATCCGTGTCCAGTTTTAAACTCTTTACGTGCCCATATAACTCTAACTATTAAATATGATTTTTTTTACAACAAAACATATACCAGTACAACATTTATGGTAAAAGAAAAAGTCTTCTATGGAACAATAAAATGTTTTTTTCTCATCGATCAAAGCCTCTGCAAAGCAGCAAGCCAAGAATATTTACCACGAAACACGAGTCTTTATTAACTTTCACTCCGTTTTATATTTGTTATACATGGTTGATGGCGTTTTAATTAGTGTTGGTTCGATTTTACCAGTGTTCAATACAAGAAGGTGCAATTTGATTCCTGTTGGCGGTACAATACATTGATACAGGATTAATATAATTAACGATTATCTATGAGCTGTTAAATCAGATATATCAGAATCAGTTAAAGTGCAAGATCTTAAAGGTTATTGACACCTTATATAATGATCTTAATGAAGACAAAAATACATGTATAACGTTTGCACAATAAAGATAAAAATGTAACGTTTTCATAATAAAGACAAAAATATAACGTTTTCACAATAAAGACAAAAATATAACGTTTTCATAAATCTCTGAAAATAATTAAGAACACAAACTTAAGGAAGGAAATTGCCTTGAAGAATACTTTCATGTGCACATTTTTCAGGACATAAGTTCAAATGTTTTATTTGTATATCGTACAAGGAACACCGTATGCGTTTCCTTATGTTTAAAAAAAATGATAAAAATGTGTTATATCCCTTATGTTATAAATTTGAAAATCATACCTCAGAAATTGAGAAAATCTGAAATATCCTGTTTTAGAGCATATATCCTTAATAGTATAGAAGTGTATCCAAATATGCGCTTATACTACTGTGGTTATCGCACCTAAACTGTTACAATAATAGGTCTATATAGATTAATACAGCGCTCCCAATCAGGCGATTGACTATCTGTGGTCATCCTAGTTGATCCCCCACTGACTTTCAATCGAATCCCCTCTATTACAACTATAATTGACCAGTTCACGTCCCAATATCGTCAAAACTAATTGCAAATATTAATGAATATATATCTGAAAACCCCGGGATTACATTATCAAAGAGCCCGATGGTATTTATAGTTCGTTATTAACAGTTCCCGCTCGGAAATGAAAACTGATCTAGAATCAAAAGCTTTAATGGAAGAACAAGGTGCCTTTCATCTTTAGTGTTAAATGAATTAGGTTATTTCTACTTTTATAGTTGACTTGTTTAAATATTGAAAAATCGAAAACTCTTTATAGTTTTATTGGGAGTCTACATTTGCAGTACCTGACCAAATACGTGTATATGGATTAATAAAAGGTCGACACGCTCTTAAAATAAACATTTTTTAAGAGTGGCGGCGTAGCTAATTGGTTAACGCGACGAACTAGTTAAATAAGGATTTCTGGCAGCGAGGGTTCAAATCCCATCAGGGACAAGCCGTTGTTTCCATGAGCATGAAAATTTACACTCGTTGGTTCCAGGAACGGATTCGAGAGTGTTTCAGCAAGCTTATTGCATCAAACACAATCGAACTAAAATCAATAAATTTAAACTAAATAGACAATTTTTCTTGTTCTTGGGAAATCATTTTTCCTGATAACATTTATTTACATAAATAAGACATTGTGTTTAATGGGGATAGAAACTACCATCCCCGCCGTAACTATGGCAATATCTGGTACACATATATTAAAATGATGTATAAAAAAGCTATATAATAATCTTTGATTTTTGGCATTAATTTTGAAGTCATTTTTTAAATTTCATTTCTCCATCAGAAGATGTGTTCCACCGGAAAGTATCAGATAACGCATTTAATTTTGTAAGCGTTCACTACAATTCGGGATCTAGACTTGTTTCGATTAGTATCGTTGACTACAGTCCATATGAAAAGTACATAGAACCATTTTTTCAGCAAGCAATGGTACATTTCTCGGGAAACAGAAAACATTTTAAATTTCTCTAGGCGGTTGAATTATTACTAAACACACGACATAGAGTAACTACTTGCATGTTGCAAATGACAAAAGGTAAGTTGATATATTGATAATTTTATAAGAACCTGATTACTTGTCCAAATAATAGAGTTTACAAGAGGCAATTATTCTATTAATAAAACAACTGCTTCTGGAGTGCGTTAAATGAGGAATTTCGAAAAGGCGAATTGAATTTTTGAGAGGGCCATCAAAGGCCTATCTCAAATATTCATTTTGGCATCAGGCACAAGTGTACATTGTTTTTTAAAGACCAGACCAAAGTGTTTATAGTGGTCTCGTCCATTCAACAGATGTTCATACCTACTTAAGTTTAATACTTCGTTTTGTAAACAAAACAGCAATCAGGTTAATGGTACAAATTGAATCTATTTTAAAACTACTAAAATATCACAAATGTTTTAATAAAATATTTACCTTTTGTATCACATCATCAATATCTCGTATAATGAGCGTCATAGTTCAGTATGTAACTATCATTTAACATACAATATCTTTTATAAAAACTGTTTTCACTTTTACTTATTCATTTAAAAGGTCATATGTTAGGTTAACGTAGTTTATTTCACACCGGAAAAGCAGTTCAAACATTAAATCCTACAGGTCTCTAAAAGCACGGTTGTATGTCAAACAGTACAGTAAACAAACTCATCAGCCCCCCTGTATGTCGCCGAAATATCTTCATCCCCAAAACACTGACCATGACACTTTCACAAACTTTAACACCCGTTCCTGATAACGGGTACGCGGTGAAAGCCAAATGGCGCACTGAAAGCCGCACCGCGGTCAGAACAATGAAGTCAACAATTAAATCATTACAACCCACATTATAGTAAGAGAAAGAAAAAACACAGCTTGAATAAAGACAGCTTGCATTACTATAGTCTTTGTTTTAATTTATGACTGTCATTGATATATAAGTTTTAAATTTCACATTTGTGTAACAGATATCTGATTATCATTGTCATCTAAACTGTCTACTAAATCATCACCTTCAGTGGCGACCGTCAATCAGAAGTAACAAAATGTTTTTGTCTTATATCAAACACGTTATTGTTTAACTTGTTAGCGGCAACTCTTTTATTTTATATTCTATGTTAAAACGTGTCATCTCAGATAATACTCTTATCTTGTCATATAAGTAAAAAAAAGGTGGTGGATATTTTGATCCGCTTTCGAAGAGGCACTTGATCAAATAAAGATCAAGATGAGTAATATAACGCCATGGTAAGACACCGAAATATAATAAATAATATACGAGTCATTACTTTATATAGATAATAGAAATGAAAATACTTATTGCCAAAATCATAAGCTTTGGTCTACAAAATTTATGTTTTATTGTTACCTAGTAGTTAGTTTTAACATATTTTATTTCTCAGAAAAAATGCTACAATATATATAAAGCATTACAAATATTCTTTTAAAACATTGTTAGAATGGAAGACAAGGCCTTATAAAATCCTTCCCTTATTAGTTGCGTATTATATTTAAATGACCCTCCATAACAAGATTAAAATACATAAGTTATAATAATATGCATTCCATTTGTTTTCCATTACTGATTCACGCATTGTTATTAAATTACTACATGAATTCACTAACAATTCTACGCTCAAGAAAAGAATAGTTCGCTTTGTGGTCCGGTGAATTCTCATATACAGGTAAATCAAGTTTGTGCTGTCAGTCCTTACGGTTTGTTTTATGAAATGTTGATAATTTTAGCTTAAATTTCGTATTTGTTGTCCCAAGTACATTATACACGAAGTCAGTTAAGTATAATAATTATTTTCCGTATGTCGTTTAAGGTTTCACCCCGGTACGGAATTAGACCCAGCCCGTTGTAGTCTAGAAAATAGTTCTTTGAAATTTTGAAGTACGTCATTTCAAGTCATTTTAGTGTGACTGGTTACATTTTAATAAAGTGTATTTATATACTTAAAATTTACACTTTTACAAAAAAAATTATTGTAACAGTGTACATTTAGTGTCATTTCTGATGACTTTAAATGTTGTTTTTGTGTATTCTGCAGGATCTCATTTCTTGTTGAAAGGATTGCAGAAGTCCTACATGCCAGCATACATGACATTTAAAACTTTGATAATATAACAGTAACTTAATAAATCTAGATGGCTAACATAGATATTTTAGGCTTCGATTGACATGTCTAGTTTTGAATAAAGATATAAAATACAGATTTCTGCTGAGTTTAATAGAAGTCTAGAATTAAGCCTTAATGTCACAGATTTACTATAAAGTAAAGAAATTTGACTGGGACGAGTCCTTAAACGGCAGTCGAACAAAAAACTATTATTCATAACGGAAGGGACCAAAAGGTTGCGATTGACAAAATTAAATAGCTTCTCCGTGGTTATTGTTACGAGTACGTCGTTAAGATTTTACAAAAACCTATTTCTACAACGCTTATTTAAATAAATATAAAGTGAAAGGGAAAGGATTTAGTTCGTGATCCTGAATTGATATTACGAAACAATTTACTTAATATCTAACATAACTGACAGTATGGTGGCCAATTAAAGCTGAGAACATGCTGAACTATCGTAAATACTGTAAGATTTTAAGCGATTTGCACTTTCTTTAACGTCCTTAATAGGTCGTTTAAGTGGTCATTGAAATAGAATAATTCTTAATTATATACTTTTCTCAGTGTCGCCTGTAATTGATTTAGTTAAAGCCAGCATGGGTCCACATTACTCGCCTTTCTTTACAAAAAAGTGCGAAATAGAGATACAAAATTGAAATGGCTGGGAACATAAGGGTATCACATATACATCGCGTCATCTGATAAGGATATCAAGTGATCCGCAAACTATTTTTTTTTACTTGTCGCGAAGTAAACCTCACTTTGTACAAAAACTAACGTGTTGGTACAATCTAGATCGTTATCAAGTCATTTTAATGATTTCCTTTTCATGAAGAATTACGGTAATTTGTTTATGTTCTTTTTATGTATAATAAAGAAAGTAAACAAAATGAATTATTTGTTAACAAAGGCTATGCACAGTCATTGTCGACCGATAATGCGATTTTTATTTCTATATTTTTTGAAAATTGATCTCTCACATGTTATGACATTTTAAATTAGTAAAAAATACATAAAAAGGATTGTTATCTTATACGTGATTTTCAGTTTTACTTACAAGTCTATTACAAAATCGTTATTCACTTATCTCATTCATAGAAAAAATATAATATCATATAACTCATGAATAACGCCAATACGAAGCTACAATATTAACAATAAATATCAGGAATGATCAACTGTATGATTAGATATGAAATGATGAGAAATGTAAAGAAAATAAGATCAACTATACTTGAAATTAATGTAAATTTAATAAGAACTCAAATGCAATTACTGTATTTTGAAATGATATATGTTAAACTTGATCTTCATTTACTCTTTGCTGAACATTTGTTATTTTTGTTCTTTTTAACAATTATATGAGAGACCTTGATGGCGCATTTTACCTTAGCTGCACAATGGCCTTTATTATAATTATGTATAGCACTGTGCACTTATAAGCATATTGCTAAAATGTATCTTGTAAATAAATGAAAAATATCTCTAAAAAAAAATAAAACTGACCACTCAAAAAAAACCTTTACTTAACCTCAGATATAGGTTTGTTACAGAAATTTTTATGCAAATGAAATGTAATCACACGTCTTCCTGTGAATTAAGTACATTCCACTCCACACATTACCAACATATTCTGTCATTTTAAAATAAACATGCAAATCTTTACATTGTTTGTGAGTATGTTGGCGTTTTTTTATTTTAAGAACTATTTTTATAGCTTAACAATTAAATAAAATGTAATTTGGTTATGCTGACTCAAAATCTGTATAGCATTAGACTTTGAGTAGAACTAAAACGGCTTGCCGCAAAAATACCACTTAGTTATCATCAGGATCATCAGGATGCAAATACTCTGGTAACTAGAATGGTATCTCCAGAATATTGCATAAGTACACAGAAATATACTGATAAACTATACAATTAAATCTTTTATTCATAGTCACTATCCATCAAAACACTATACCTTAATTCAATATATTAAAAGAATAATCTACCTTTTCATCATTCTCGTCATCATCGCCAAGAGAAACCACATTTACATCATCATTGAGGTCATCAACATCAAAACAATCTTCACTCAACGACCTCGGTCCTTTGCTGCCGTTGTAGTATGACGGAAAAGCCAGTCCTAAATCCATATTGTGTGAACCTTTGGTTTCCATGTCATCAAGACTTGCAGGCATTTCATTTGTTTCACTAACTGATACCTTAAATAATTTACTACTTGCGTGTACAGTCTTAAGATCGTCGAATAAACTTAGTCCATGACCACATTTAATAACACTTTCATACATATATGGACTATCTGATCGTCTATCCACAATAGAACTAAGTTCATCATCATCGCCAAAGAATTCGTGAAATTTAATATTGACGTTATTGATATTTTCTTTGCAGTGGATCTGCTCTGATGATATCTTTTCAGATACTTCTTCAATGCAAACATTCTTTGTTTCAAACATATCTGAAAAGACAACACTTCCAATGTCATCTTCTTCGTCGGCATCCCAGTTGAATATCAAAGGATTATTATTCATTACATCAGAGTAAGGTTTGTCAACCTTAGTGTCTATATCTTCAGGTGTCTTAAATCTATCTTCAACCGATGCATTGATTATAGAATCGGTCAAAGAAAAGCGCACACTGCTCCTTACCGCCTTCGACGTAGAATACATCGGTCCACCTGAATCTTTACGTTTGCAAACATTCTCATGTTGGTTATGAATTGGTGTTACCATGGAATTGATCTTGTCATCATGCAAGTCATCCATTCTGTCATTTCCTTCTTCAGTTTCTATAAGAGGTCTCCCAAGTATTAAGTCAGATACTGTAGTATGGTGCGTTCTTTTCTCCAGTATGTCAGCAAGAATTGTTCGTGTTACGATTGGTTTGCTGGTTTCATCTATACACCCTTTGTGAACTTCATCACTTTTTGTATGGCACATAACTCCAGCATGGTTACCATTTTGTAATAATTTTGCCTCGCAACTGAAATGTGAATTTTGTGTAGTTTGTTCGACGATGTCAATGTTAGTTTGAGCGTCTGATCTCAATTGTTGTGGCTTTGCGTTTGGTGTATTAGCTTTAATGCAATTTCCATTATTTGTTGGATTCAGTCCCATCCTACATGCTTGTATATCAGCTAATGTTATCATTGGTGTCTTTTGTCCAGTAGTAACACAATACTCATTAAACTTGGTACATCTCTCTCTGACATCTTCATTAATTACTGCGTCCGTTTCGGATCTTACGCCGTTAACACTGACATCTGGTCCTTGGGAATATTTTGGTATATCTTCTAGCGGTTCTTTGATTTTATTGTTATAGCTATTTTTATCTAGTTGTCTGTAACTAGTTCTCCTGGATGTCGGCACTGATGTGCTATCTATAATCCTTCGCTTCGTCTTTCGGCATTCATCCATGTTTTAGTAAGTCTGCGGTTGCTTATGTCTAAATCAACGCTTTCTTATTTTTGTTACAGATAAACTATAGTTCACTTTTATATGCGTGCAATACAAATGATGAAGTTTTTATCCATTTTTGATCAAGCAAATAAGTATTGTAAACACGGGCAACATCCTAGATAAATGTAAGACTGTTTGCTTTAATATATGGTCTGAATTTACCTCTCAAATAATAGGATACATTTATACTTCATGTACTATTATAAAATCGATGTGTTTAAAAGCTTTTGTGCATTCCAGCCTTGGATTAAACAGTTCGCTGAAGCCCATAGGTAACAAATTTAGCACGACGCTTGGCAAGATATCTGTGAGAAAAACGAAAACAGTCCCGCAGTCTTTTAACAAAATCAAAACAAAGATTAAATGGTTAATCTGACAATCTCTATAACTGTATGTTCTATACCTAGGGGGAATTTAAATTTATTAATCTCATAAAGAATCTTGTTTATCAAGTGCAATTGGCCGGAATAAGGAATTATAATCATATTATAATGCTTTGTAATTATTGACCATTATAATACCTATGTCATAAAACATGATACAGTAAAATTCATTGCATAGCGCAATTACATAGTCATTTAATCTGTTGAAGTATATATGCATAATGCAATAAGAATGTATATATAAAATTAAAGCAGTTGAAACATTCAAATACAGTGTATATACACCAGTCTCTGCGAATTAAATCGATTTAATTGCAATTTACAGGTCTTTATCAAAGCGGAGATTCCATTATGGTAATGTGATGATATGAATTAATACAGTAAGATAATAACTAAAACTCAATATATCGACAGAGAAAACGTGGCCAGTATGATAGTGAAAACGTGACAGTACGACAGTGACAACGTGAACAGTACGACATTGAAAACGTGACCAGTACGACAGTGACAACGTGACCAGTGCGACAGTGACAACGAGACCAGTACGACAGTGAAAACGTGACCAGTACGACAGTGAAAACGTGATAGTACTATGGTGAAAATTTGACCAGTGCGACAGTACAAGCATATGTATTGAACACTAAATAGGTTAACATGATAAAGATAAAAGTCAGCTTTAAGATGTTTTATGATAAAGATAACATTGATAAAGAAATAGTTTTAAAATACTATACAATATTTTAAAAGAAATACAATTATAACATTATATTAAGAATGTCTCTTAAGGAAATATTGTGGAGGAAATTATTTAAATAAAAAGTACAACTCACTTGCTTTAAACACTAAAGCTAAATCTTTCACTTCAATATTTCTAGATAAAAATACATATACACAGCACCTTAATTAGATTTTTTTTAAACTAGAAGTGTTCAAATTTCTGAACACTCACCAAAGATGGAAGATTAGTTCATGTAACTTTAGATAAATGAAAAATGGACAAACGCTGATCTAGAATGTGGTGGACGTCATTGGTTCAAGTACATACACTTTTCAAAATTAAAATAAAGTTAATTTTATGTTATCTTAACAATACTTGCATCTCTGGTAACAAACTGATCAGTAAACCAACTTGCATCAAAGTCAAAACTTGGTTCATTATTTTGTTTGAAATGAAATTAAAAGGAACTGCAAATGCCGACTATTTTTTAATATGACTACATGTATTTGTCATTATGATATATATATATTCGACCGTTACGAAAGAAAGAATACAATGCATATGAAATAGGCAATTGTCAAAATAACATGGATTTGATTATAAGAGCCATAGTGCTCCCATTGCAGATAATGGCGGTGTTGGTAGTTATCACTCCGGATCACGGCAGAAAGCCTCATTGAATTTACATGAACACAGTTAAGCCACCGCAATGTTTTCCGGGTACGCGGTCAAGCAGTTACGTTTTGTGTATGTTCCAAGTTTAATAAGGGTCCATCCGCCCTTTCAGGCACTGAGAATACGGACCCCGGACATGTCACCAATCATGTCCTTAAATAATTCGTGACTCAAAAATTTTGAATCCATTAATTCACTGAATGCGACTAAATACAATGTATATGTTATTTTTTCTTTTCTATTTGATATACAATATAATTTATATGACTAAATGATTCAAGGGAGGCCAATGAGATCATTATATGCGCCATGCTAAAATGAAGTTGTCAAAATAAAAAAAAGCAAGAATATCGGACCCTGTAGGTTCATATCTGTCAAAAAGTTTGTTGTTTTTGTTGTTGTTTTAGTTGTTGTTGTTTTTGTTTGTTTGTTTGTTTGTTTTTAGTTTTTAGTTTAGTTTAGAATAGTTACCGACTTGCTGGCAGTCATTATTCATCGCTTAATAAAAGGCGTTATTATTTCCAATATATTTAGGTGAATGGTGTCGTTTCCTTCGCTCACCCCCTCTGTTCGTGCACGTTGCAGAGAAGGCACAGGGCATCGGCAGAAGAGTTGAGTAACTCGGGATGGCGAAAATGAACAAAGACCCGAACTTGTAAATGCGAACTAGCTGCCGATGTCCTGACTAAACGACTTAAGCCGAGGGGGAGTGGCCCTTCAAAGTAGGCAGGGAAGACCAGGAAAAGTGCTAGGGTGCGTGGCCACTAGCAAAAAGAGTGACGGCTTGAAAGGCAGGCCCTTTGCTTGGCACCAACAACCCGTTTAAGGGTTGCACCCTTTTCATATTGTCTCAGGTCACTGCTTATTTACGTTCTCATTGGCAGCCGTACAGATAGACCCTCATTAAACATAGACTACTTATATAGAATTCATGCTGGTATCATTTCTTTCCTGACCATTCCTATTCTGTCACACTACTTGCAGGCTCTAAGTTTATTTGGGGAATAACTTTCAAAATTTGCAAAATGTCGTCCAGGGGATGGAATGCATGCAATACGAAAATGTTATTATTTGTTGTTATTGAACCGTTAAGACAGCGCAGTTACGTTATGGCACGAGAATACACGCACGTGTTTAAATAAATGCAATATTTCTCTTACCAGTATCATAAATCTTCTTGAGGAAAAACACGTTGATAAATAAATTCATGGAGCTAAATATATATGTTTATATATCTGTGATAAATTAAATGGTTCAATGTGTCCGAAGAAAACAAAAATGTTTAATGTGCTGCTCAGTTCCAACATAAATTCACCAACTGCCAGACTTTAAATTAACATCTATTTGTAATATTCTGAGCGGGCAGACTGACCGTTTACATATGTTGGTATAAAATATCTACCTGTCAGAGAGTTGCCGTCATTTTTGCAAGCCTAATGGCTTATCAGCATTTATAAAAACGGGAACCAGCTAATGCAATATTTGCTCCCAGCAGTCAGCTGAGATATCAGGTTACCTCCTAGACAAGCTTCTATAATTTTCATCTCATAAACATAGGAGGTGAAGTGTGTAGGGGAAATATATTCTGAACAAAAGATTCTATATCTGAATCTTTTGTGAGTTGTTTTATCCTTCCTTCTTTTTGAAAACCATATAAACGGTTTTCGGGAATTTATATACTGTGAAGATTTGGGCAGGTAAGAAAAGTATTCGTATATTTATCTAAGGTTGTTTTTGATTTGTTCTGTTGCCAAGTTTTCTCTCTGTATATATCTGCACGATCAGATGAATCACAAAGAACTTTGGTTGATATGCACCGCTCTTTTATTATGTTTTTCCTTTTTAAAGTACTAAAATTCTGAAACCTTTTTAGTTTAGTTTGAGTCTTGTTTTGATTTTTAAAAATGTTTTACAGATGTGCTTAAAATCGTTTAAAACACGGGTTATAGACCTTACTCTCGTTGACCTAGATGAGCTGCACGCAAATATGAGAGGCTGTTTCCAGGGTTGATTTTTTCCTCGATATTTAAATAAGACTCCCCCATAGTTTGTACTTTTATGATATTTTATGCAATATTCCTTTGCTCACGTTCAGAATTTAATCATTTTTTTCATGAACATTACTCTTGTAAGTATTTAAGTAAGTGATTTGTGAGTTTATTTGTAGACGGTTCTTTGACCAACAATCTGCTGAATGTTTTTATGAACCTGTTCAGCTTCTAATGTCGGAACTGTGCATGATAATCAAGGTTGATCAGACAACAATATAAAGCCTGGTCAGATACCCTAAGTGTGCAGGCTGGTCTGGCTCTATACTGGTCACTTCCGGTTACAGCGGGGTTTTAAACGGTAACTTATCAATAATAGTACACAATTTGTGAGAAAAAAAATTGTAATAAATGTATAGAAAAATATTATCATAAAATTTCATACAGTGCTGACAAAAGAAAACGCTGACAAAACAAAACAATAAAACGTTAGAAATGATTTTAAAGGCTTTAATGAAACTCATTTTTACCTAAAAAAATAGATAAAGACTGGTATCTTAAATAAATGACTAACAAATCGTGATAGAGATGCATTAATTCGAATTTCTGTTAATCTATCTTCACATATTGAAAAACACCTTTCATTTTCTTGAAAACTTGTAGATCATACACTGCATCACACGGCAGTTTTATACATATGATCAACACATATAGCAGTAACGTTTATGATAAATATTAACACATGTATTTACATATTGACTGAAAGTGCATAAAATTTAAAACCGAAATACTGGTACATGTACTTTATATCACGGACTTATATTCTGCAATATACACGGATTTATATTACTGTAATATAAATCCGAGGCAATATAATACCATGTGTATGCATATGTATACATTCCTTATTCATGAGAAAAGATGTTATTAGATTTACCACATGTTGGATTTGAATATTTTGTGGAAATCCGCTGACCCTGGCTTTACAGGAAAAAGATATATGTCTGTAGAGGGAAACAAAGCATGTCCAGAAACACGTGTCCATATTCCTGCGCCACATTAACGCGGTGTGTTAACCACCTGTTGTGATCAGTCACTGTAACACATGGTGGTATATCACGTGACATGATGCACTGCTGCGTGATGTCAGACCTGACATCAATTATCATAGATCATTATCTTATATGTTACGTCAATGATAATTATTCAAATAAAATTAAGAGGTTATCTTAGGTCATGATGTTAAATATGCATTCCAAATTTAGTGAACGTAACGAAATATGTTACGATATTGTGACTAAGACACCG